CTTTTAAAGATTTTGTTACAGGAACACAGAATGTCCGAAACTGCTCAAGTGTTCCTTAGGTCAATTGTTTTGAAATTATAAATGAAACCCTTCTATTATTGTAGGCTTTTGCAGCTTAGATTCCCTTTAGATTCCGGCAAAGATGAGGTTGAATTAAGTTGGTTGCCTCACTTTATAATATTTCCTTGCTTGTATTTCTTGTAGACATATAGAAGAGTAGGCAATGCATGATGCATGCTCAGAATTTGATATTTATGTTGCTATACCTAGTTGTAGGCTGCCACACATGATTTAAGTGGATAATTTGTGGACCTGGCAGTTTTTCATATTATGGCGGAGAGACTGCAGGGCAGATTGTTGCAGCTGTTTAGAAACATCAGTTATGAATTTAATTTCTTTGAGAGCAATGCAGTGCATCATCCTTTTATTGCTTTCATGCTGAAGCAACACCACAAATTTGTCTTCTTAAATGCAAGAAAAAAATGTTATATCTGAGTTCAGAAAACTCTGTTTTTGTACTCCTTTGTTTTGTTTCAGTGAGTCAGCAAACTAAAAAACGTCAGACAGGCTAGGTACAGAAGGCCTTCCTACTGCCTGTTCTTTCTGCAACATCTCTCCCAAGGTTTCAAAGAGAGAGATTTCCCATCCACACTTCTAAGATTGCATAACTGCAGATGGTACATTATCTTGGTGTAATTGATGCTTAGGGATCACATATCTCCTAGCAAGGTGCTGCCATTTTGTACTTTCTAACTTATTTCAGGTTTCATAAGTAAAGAATAGTCTGTTTCTTTTGAGCAGGCCTGAGAAAATGTATCCAATAGCTTTATATTCTCATTGTTGCTTATCCTTTGCTGAGATCCCCTTCTCTTCCTATGGCAGGACATAATTTCCTCAGAATACTAATGCAGAGGATGAAATGTGTGCTGTCACTGAGATGCTCAATTAGCTTTCTACACACTTTTAAAAATAACCTGCTATGTCTAGTACTATAATGTTAAGATGGGAACATCTATTCTGTCTGTTTCTACTATAGTTGGACGCTAGTGACTCAAGCTCCAGCAGTAATCTTTCACTTGCTAAGGCCAGGCCAAGCAGTGATCTAAACAACAGCACTGGACAATCTCCCCACCATAAAGTGCAACGAAGTATATCTTCTAGCCAGAAGCAGCGACGGTACAGTGACCATGGTGAGTGACATTATCCTTTTGTTGGAATTTTAGTTGCAGAAAAATGATTGATGATAGAGATATTGTTAGAGTCTTGGTCACAAAAGGTAGAGAATGTATTGGGTGTGACAAATTTAGGATGTACTAATCAGTGGGGGGGGGTGGAATTTGACAGTAAACGATAGCTAGTTGAGATAATCCTCTGGAGAAAATCAGTTTTCAAATCTTCAATTGAAACAAAAGATCCACAATGTCATGTATGTATGCTTTTACAGAAATATTTGGACTAGAATTTGTTAGTTTAATTAGTATATCCACTCATGCCCAGTCCAAATAATTATGTTACAAGTTGGAGCCAGGCCAGTTGTTACAGAGGCTGACTTTTCATTAACACAGAAGTTAGAATTTCAGCCCTCTTCCAGCTGCTCATCTTAATCCTTCTCAACTGACTGATATGCTCTGTCTTTATAGAATTATTGATAAAGACTGAAAAAACATTATTTATTTATTTTATTTAACTTATATGACACCCACACTACCCAAAGGTCTCTGGGTGGCTTACAACAATTTGAATACAGTAAAAAGATAAAACAATTAAAATACAATTAAAAATACAGTGATCTAAAAATTGCCACCAGGACCCACAGTTGATATTATTTCAATTAAAAACCTTCTGAAACAGGAAGATTTTGACCTGGCGCCGAAGCATCATCAGCATCGGCGCCAGACGAATCTCCTTTGGGATGGTGTTCCATAGTCTGGGGGCAGCTGCCAAAAAGGCCCTTTGTCTACAAGCCATCCCTCTTACCTCCTTGAAGGATGACTCTTTCAGGGAAGCCTCCCCGGCTAGATCTTAATTGCCAGGTAGGTTCATATGGAAGGAGGTATCAACATTTTATGTGAGATTATTGCTTGTGTAGAATTTTTCGAGCTGTCCAATCTGCTGTTTCAAAAACAATTAAATATAAAAACACAGTGCACAACATAGGGGTGTTCCTGGATTTGTCTCTGTGCCGGAATCCCCAGGTTTCGGCATGGCCAGGAGTCCATTTGCACAATTAAAACTATTGTGCCAGCTGCACCCATTCCTGGAGAAGTCTGATCTGGCCATGGTGACAGATGCCTTAGTTCCCAGCTGGATTACCATAACACACACTCTGTGTGGGACTACCGCTGTACAGTGTTCAGAAACTTCAGCAGGTCCAAGCACAGCAGCCAGATTGCTAACTGGAGCTGGCCAAAGGGATCACATAACTCCCCTGTTACAGCAGCACCGTTGGCTGCTGATATGTTTCTGAGCACAATTCAGAGTGCTGATCCTAACCTGCTGCTGATATGAGCACAATTCAGAGTGCTGATCCTAACCTATAAAGCTCTAAATGGCTTGGTTCAAAGCTATCTCAAAGATCACATCTCCCTGCATAAGCTTCCCCAGGTTTTAAGTTCATCAGGGGAGGTCTTTCTCTTGGTCCCACCACGATCATTGGAGGGGCCACTCACAGACTGTGGAACCCCCTCCCACTAGAGGCCAGGCTGGCCCCGTCTTTGCTGTCTTTCTGCAAGCAGACAAAGACTTTTCTTTTCAGGCAGGCTTTCCCTTAATGACTAGCTGCTCTAGTGGAATTTTTTTAAATGAGCTGTTGTGCCTTGAATGTGGTTTTGGTGTTGCTTTTGTTTACCATTTTTTACTGTGATATTTTTTTGATCTTCTTTAGTATTTGTATACTTACTGTTGTTAGCTTTAAATATTATCTTTTAATTATGTATACTGCCTTTGCTCTTTCTTAAGGAGAAAGGTGGGTTAAAATATTTTAATTAAATAAATAAAATATATTTAAATTTGAAGGTATCCATGTAGATGATGACAGTTTTTTTTGACCAGGTATTATTCTTTCTCTGCAGTGAAATAAAAAGCTAAAGCCCTCATTTTTTGTTTGCCCACTTCAGACTTGTCAAAATGATTTTAAGAAACTGCATAAGAAAAAGCTGGCCTTCAGGTTGGGATTAAACACCACCTAATTTTTGTAGGTCATATGAGGCAAACAGCCTGCTTGTTGCTGCTTTGCATAACTAGTAGATTTTGTGGAAGAGATGCTGTCCTCTTAGGAACAGAGGAAGTAAAAAAGAAATACTTGTGGACATTCAGTTCTCCAAGTTCTAATAAACACAGGTTGACCTAATAGTGTCAAAAGAAAAAAGACACACACAAACACACACATGGATTAAGAGAAGGAACTTTTGTTCTTTTTTCAAAGAAGTCTTACAAGATACTTGGTAAGCCTTCTTAAGCACAATTATGAATACCAACAAACTCCTTAGCAAAGCAAGGACACATGATTTAACTAATAAGGTAAGGTGATTCACTAATAATTAAACATGTTGCTGTGCAACATATTCATTTCTGCTTAACAAGCTTTGAGCAATATGCACTGGACACCACATATCTGGGGATACTTGAATAATTTAGTTTTGGAAATCCTACCATTTCCAGTATTTTTACCTCTCAAGTTTACAAAATGCCCTTTAAATAAACTTATAAATAATTTCTGTATAAGCACAAACTGTAGGTATTTTGGTACAGAAAATGCTTTTTCCCATAGCAAGGGAGACATGCTTCTTTCTGGCCCCAATCTTGTGGCTGTCAGCGTTAAGGACAGGCTTTTAGAGGAGACTGCCATAAAATCACTTCTTGCAGGGGAATGCCTTTAGTGTGCAATTTTCTAGTGTTTACACTGTATGTTTCTTACACATGTTGTGTTAAAGAGGTCTTCAGTTCAATTAAAAGTATTGGCTGCTATTGCAATATGTCTTCAGCAGTAAATACTGAGCTTACCTTTTTAAAAAGCAAGATAATCAGATTGTCCTGAATCTTTAAGATTGTCTTGGAATGGTAATGCATACTTTGTTCTGTGTTTTAGCTGGCCCATCTATTCCTTCAGCAGTGGCATATCCGAAAAGAAGTCAGACTAGCACTACTGACAGTGACCTCAAAGAAGAAGGGATTCAGTCACGGAAATCCAGCAGCAGTGCTGCTGGTGGGCGAGGGATTGCTCCTGCGAGTCCTATGCTTGGGAATGCCAGCAATCCAAATAAGGCTGATATCCCTGAGCGTAAGAGAAGTTCTGCTACACCCAATGTAAGTATAAGGAGTTTGCATTCACACCTTTCTCTTCAGCTGACTTAAAAGGAATAACTGGGAAGAGAACACTTGTCTAATCAGAAAGAAATGTGGATCGTTCATTTGTTTCATTGTTGTAACTATTTGGTAATGTAGTTCTCTCACCTATGAATCCTGAAATTGTTTCATATTAAACTCTTATGATGTTTACCCAGAAAGATTAAGGTATAAGCAAGAATGTAAGAGCCTGTTGTTGTTGTTGTTGTTGTTTAATTCTGCCTTTTGTTTTACTTCAGTAATCATTATATTGTGTCATCTATCGCAACTAATTATTTGGGCTCCTTTTTATTACATTGAGTAGGAAAAAGATAGATGTATTTTGTTTGGTATGATGCCAGATTTTTTTATGCATTTCATGTGGGAAAACATGGCCAGTGGGGCTGTATGTGCCCTGTAATACCATTTTGCAGCCCACAACACTCATCCTGCTGCCCTGCAGCCACCCTTATTTTTGACCATGTTAGCAACATTCCTTCCTTCAAAACACTCTCTGTTCCCCCACCTCATTTTCCTCTCCTAGCAGAACCTTGTTTGTTCTGCATAGTGCTCTTCCTGCTTCCCATAAAGGCATTTTTCTTACTGCTTTTATGGTAGAGAGGGATGCTCTGACACCTTCCTGCCACTGTAGAGAGTTGCAGTTGCTGTCATATTTCAGTGATATATCCCAACTCTTGGAACTGCTCTACAGCATTATTTTTGGTGATCACATCTAGACTTGCTACCATTCTTTGCATGATTTCCCAGTTCCTTTATTAGCATAAAAGTTGTTCCTTGGTGTGTCTGCCTTCTCATGTCATTGTTTATTCATTCTTGACTTGTCTTCAAAAGGAATTGTCTCAAACACAGGCTATATATGATGAAAGCAACACTGTGTTTTCAGATTTAGTTTGAGTCTCCTTTTTACTTCTGTCTTTGACATTTTAGCTTTTTGAAATGTATAGAGGCTGAAATAGCATATCTGTTTCTTGATTTCATGTGATGCTGACTCTTAGAACACCACCCAAACATGCATCTCTCTGTCTGTGTTGAATTCTGGGTCATTTCAGTAAAGAGCACTGCTTGAATAATGCTGGATGCCTAGCATGAACATACATGGAACAGCTTTATTTTGAGTCATGTTAGCGGTGCCTCTAGCCCAGTGCTAATCATTTGGACAATGGCTTTCCAGATAGTCATGTGCTGTAGACTAAATTTTCCAGATGCTGTAGACTAAATTTTGGGATCGTCTTCATGCAATATATTCCTGTCCCTGAGCTGTCCCACTCCCTACGGTCCTTTCCAAAAGAAAATACTAAGCCAGACCAGGTTTGAACTAGAGTCCCAAGCTAAATACCTGGTTGAATCTGGCCATAAGTCAAGAGCAACATCAGGATCACCTAGAGTAGTGGTCCCCAACTGTGGACCTCCAGATGTTCTTGGACTTCAACTCCCAGAAATCCTGGCCAACAGAGGTGGTGGTGAAAGCATCTGGGAGTTGTAGTTCAAGAACATCTGGAGGCCCAAGGTTGGGGACCACTGACCTAGAGGATGAATAATGACTAGAGGGAGGATTTCTGTGACATGTCACACTTTCTCTTCAACCTGACTCGAACCCACAAGCAAGTTTAAACATGTTTATGAGTAATCTGACCTTTCTCACCAGATTGCTCATAAACATGTCCAAACCCACTTATAAGTTCAAATATAGACTGCATGAAAAATACATGACATAGAAATCCTTTTCCTAATAGTAACAATTCCGACAAGGATCCTTTTGTTCTGAATGGAGTCATTGGTCTTTGTAGCTCAACATTGTGTTCTTTGATGGACAGTATCTTTCCAAAATTTTCCAGCAGAGTTTGATTTTAGCTAGAAGTGCTAAGGACTGGATATGGGACTTCCTGCATGGAGGCGGTTCTTCTGTTGACTTTTGCCTTAAATGTACTTTGTGCAGATAAAGACATTGCCTTGTTAGTAGTTTTATCCAGTATTCCTTTTTATGCATATAACTATGTCCGTCCTTTTAAATATGTCAGATATTTGCTGTCTTTCCTATATTTGTGGTAGTAGAAAAATCTTCACTGAATTCCCACTCACTTAGATCAGTTGAAAATTATGTCCTCTCTCAATGTTCATATTCACAGTCTTTAATCAACATGTTCTTACCAACATATTTGCAAAACAAATGCTACCACATCAGTAAAATGCTTGACTGAGTACCCATCTGATTCTTCGTAACCCAAGTACCTGATTTGGTGGGTGGAGTAAGAGAAAGATTGGTTGCTTTTTTAGCTCTTAGTGAGGTTTATACTTTTCTTGACTTGCTGCACTATTCAGTAGAAGGACAGATCTTAAGGCTCTCAGTCTCTCCTTTCCAGAGACCTCAGTGGGTGCATGTTTGTCCTGATCGTATGCTTTATCTACTTTCAATGCATCTAACACTTTAAAAAACTATTCTGTTATCTGTTAGCTCTTCTATCATTCCTGGAAAATTGATCCACGGCTTGGGCACATCTCCACACTCTTTCTCTGTAAAGACAGAGGCAAAGTAACTATTTAACTTTTTTTGTGCTCCTGCCCCCCCCCAAACAAAATGTCATTTTTGAGTGGGCCTGTGGTTATCTTCTCCTCTGTGTGTCTCTGTGTGTGTGCCTAGTACTTGAAACAATACTGTCTCACTCTTCTGCATACACCCTTTCCTATATTTTTACTTGTTTAATTATTGTTTTCCTCATAGCTGTTATTATTTAGTGTTAAAAAGGATTTTTTAACTTCTTAATATTTTTAGTATTATTTGTTACAGTTTAACCCCCCCCACACACACAAAACTTGGCATATAATTTCATGGGGGGGAAACGTAATTTGTGTGGTAAATTATTTCTTGTAATACATTTTCAATTGTGTTTTCAGTCCCACATGACTGTGGATTTATTCTAGTAGAAAAGATAATTTTCTTCCTGATTCAATAGCCTCAGTACAGTTCATAATAAAGAGTAACATTGTGAATATAATCAGGCAGTTGTAAAACATTTGTTGCAAACTAAGTTGCAACCAAAATGTAAGCAAATAGAAGAACAAAGAAGAAAATATAATAAAATCTTACAAACATGGTATTTTTCTTTGCAGAACAACACTGCACCTGGAGCCATGACACGGCGAAATACGTATGTTTGTAGTGAAAGAACAACTGCGGACAGACATTCAGTCATTCAAAATGGCAAAGAGAGCAGGTAAGAGGTTTATAAAAGGACAGTTTCCCCATACTTTAAATAGTTGTCTTCTTTAGGATGCCATTGCAACATAGAAAAATTTATATGTAATCCTTTTCCTGTGAAAATATTACACTTGAAAATAAATCTGTGGCAGATAAGCTGCAATACTTTAATCTTGGAATTAATAACCTAGGTACAGTGGTGCCTCACACAACGATGTTAATTGGTACCAAAAAAATCAACGTTGTGTGAAACATCGTTCTGTGAAACACCATTTCCCATAGGAATGCATTGAAAACCGGTTAATCTGTTCCAATTGGAACGGATTGCCATCGCTGAGTGAAAATCCCCATAGGAAACATCGCTGTGTGAAACAATGTCTCCTTCATTGGAATGTATCGAAGCCGACTCAATACATTTCAATGCCTTTGCGAAGTCCTTTTTCGCTCCTGTAAAAGTGTCTTACAATGTTTGGAAGCTGTTTTAAATGATTGCAATGGTTAGCCCACCTCCTGAAACCTAAGCAAACTGATTTTGGTGTTGTTCTGACACTTCGTTAATTTATGGTAATTTTTTGTTTTCTCCATTGAAAACCATTGGATGGTCTGTCTAATGGTTTGAGCTCAAGTTTGAGCTCAATGTGACTTACTCAGGATCTGTATATTTAGGATTTTGGCCCTAACTGTATGCTCAGCTGCTTTTCCATTGAAATAGATAGGGTTTCAAAGTGCTTAACTGTGGCTAGGTCAAGCACCAAAACATGTTACAAGATGCAAAGCCTAAAACTGAGATTGAGAGAATTGAAATTTACTACATTGTGTAATATGACAGAACACCAACTTTATAATAAAGTTCAGGACAATGATTCTATTACTAACACCACTTGCAAGTCCTTACATGTTTCAAGCATATCCCACTCCTTATCACAAACCTTTATTCCTTCGTTGTCTCCAGACTAAGGGGTTATTTTGTCTTTCAGGTGAGCGACAAGCATATGGGCTAAAATCCTGTTGTGCAGCTGATGACACCACCACCAGCAAATTGCTACTGATTAAAGGCAATTTTGGGTGCACATGATTCATACCCAATGTGAGAAGGTTTCATGCACCTTGAAATTACTTAAGAATCAGCGGCAATTTGTAGGGCTGTCTAACAGGATTTTAGCCACTGCATCTCAAATAGAGATATGAAGAAAAATTTGATGTGAAAACGCGTTATTCCCTTTTTTTTCCTCAGGGACAGATTTTCATGTTTTGTAGCGGAGAAATCGAACACTTTGGGGAAAATAGAAAATACTATGATAAAACAGTTTATCCTTGGATCAGTGTTGATTTGTTTGAAGATATGCATGTGCAGAATTTACAGTGTTACTCAGTTTGCACAATGTGACAACACAGCACTCAAACCAGGATACATTTCCACAACTAGGAGGGCTACTGTCTTCATGAGAGGAGCCTCCAGGGCAGAAGGTTTTGCTACTTCCCTCCTACTTTGAGGGAAGACAATGACATTTGAAGCAAGAAGTAGCCATGTTACTCTTTGCAAAGCTTGCTGCTTATATACTGCCCCATAGTGCTTAAAGCACTCTCTGGGCAGTTTACAGTTCAGTTATGCAGGCTCCAATACTTTGGCCATCTCATGAGAAGAGAAGGCTCCCTGGAAAAGACCTTGATGTTAGGAAAGTGTAAAGGCAAGAGGAGAAGGGGACGACAGAGGGTGGGATGTTTGGACAGTGTCATCGAAGCGACCAACATGAATTTGGCCCAATTCCGGGAGGCAGTGGAGGACAGGGGGGCCTGGCGTGCTCTGGTCCATGGGGTCACGAAGAATCGGACACATGACTAAACGACTAAACAACAGCAACATATTGCCCACCCCACATTGCAAAGTGGGTACTCAATTTACCAACTTCAGAGCAATGGAAGTCTGACTCAACCTTGAGATGGCTATCTGGATCCACTGGAATTGAACATCATGAGCAATACTGCAGTTTAACCACTGCACCACAAGTTTCCTCAAGCATATCCAGACAAACACAAAATACCTTAAAAATTGTACCATTTCCTTGAAAATAAGACTTAACCTGAAAATAAGCCCCAGTTAAGTGAAACCCCGCCCTCCACCATTGTGCAGCAACCAGAAGAAGAAGAAGACGTGACTGGATTTGAATAAATGTACATTGTTGTACATGGAAAAATAAAACATCCCCTGAAAATAAGCCATAATGCATTTTTTGATCAAAAATTAATATAAGACTGTATTATTTGGGGGGAAACAGTACAAAAGCTTATATTGAAATATGTTTATTTGTTTATTTGTTTTATTAGATTTTCCCTGCCCCCCTAGACAGCGTCTACTCAGGGCAGCTTACAAATATAAAAAATCATAAAATATAATAAAACATCACAATCATTCATTAAAACAATTAAATCAGTAACATGGTATGGTGTGTTCGAGATGGGAAATGAAAACAAAGAAATAGAATTCAAGAATTGACAGAAGGAAAGGCCTGCCTAAAGAGCCAAGTCTTTAGATGGCTCTTAAATATAAAAGCCTTTATGATTGGAGTATATTGTATATTTTTGTTTTGGTTTTTGGCCTATTTTTTATCTGAATAGCTTAGTAGCAAGACTGTTTCTTCCAAAATAATACACTTAATTTTTTCCACTATAAAAATATTTTGTTTCTTGGAAAAAAATGATAAAACATGCTAACAAAAAAATGAAAAGAGAAACTACAGGTCTGTGATTTATTTTCATTTTTCTCTTACTTCTCACATGGCAAAAATTAAGAAACATATGTTTAATTAGCAGCAGCACTTGGCTTTAGACACATGCAACTGTTGCTTCATTGTAGGGTATTTTTATTTTCTTTGCAAACTTCAGAGGTTTCCATTTTTAAATTCCATAAATAGTTCTGATCACATAATTGTGTATGCTAAATTATTTGTGCCATTTTACGTAGTGAAAGCAGCAAAATAAATTTTAAAATGACCTGAAATTTTATGTAACATATATTTTATCACCCTCAGTTTTCTCCCTCCTTCCAAAAAGAGAACTTCCCCCATCTTCAAATTTTCTGGAAAATTTACATCTCTAATGTGAATTTTCCATGAATTCGTGGAAAATTTTGCATCTCTAATGTGAATTTCCATGAATTCACACTCCCTCCAAGTGAATTCCCATGATAATTGTTAAGACACCTCCTACAACAAGTATGTTGGATATAATACGCATTATAAGCTCTTCTTTCTCTTGAGACACACCCTAAACCTCAAGAAAATGTAGACACTTGTGTATAAATGGATAAAAATTGTGTTGTGTACTTCATTTCTTAATAGCAGTGCAATCCAAGCTCAAATATAAGTTCACTGTAATGTCTTTAGGATGGGCAGAAACCTTTTGTGCTATCACAACTACCTCTATGCTTGCTGATTTCCACCTATTGGCACAACTGTTTTCTGTCTTGAGACCAAGTGGCACAAGAGCCAAAAAGGGCGAGTTGGGGAAAAGTTGTTACCCCAAATCCAGACCCATCTCATCCCAGTCACTATGCTTGCATAGATTAAGGCTGTGATCAGGATAGCTTGAAGTAATTTCCAAAATCATTTGGATGGGAGCAGTTTTGACACAGTGCAGCTTCAGCTGGTCTCATAGAAACTCAGGCAGCCCTCAGCCATCTAGGCTAGTTAAGAATGCACCCTAATTCAGAAGGCTGTCTTCATTCGTTCATTTATCCATTCATTCATTTGCTTGCTTTCATTCTTCCACTTTTTCCAGAGAAGGTTGCCATTTTTGCTTTTGTTAATAGCAAAACCCTCAGCTTGGGTTAGTTAATAAATTGCATGCCGTCAAGTTAATTGCGATTTATGGAGACTATTTTCAGGGTTTTCTAGGTAGAGAATATACAGAGTTTGCCGTTCCCTTCTTCTGGGGGTGCCCTGGGACTGTACTGCTTGTGCATGGCTACATGGGCTGGCTCTTCCCCTAGGAGGCACAGTGAGGATTCAAACTCCCAGGCTGTGGCTCTATAGCCAGGTACAGTGGGGTCTTGACTTGAGAACTTAATCCGTATTGGAAGGCGGTTCGCAAGTCAAAAAGTTCTCAGGTCAAATCTGCATTTCCCATAGGAATGCATTGAAAACCATTTGATCCGTATCTGCTCTTTTCCGTCCATAGAAACTAATGGGAAGCTGCTATTCCGCCTTCGACCACTAGAGGGGGATATTTTGTTTCTTTTTTTCTTAGGTCAAGAAAGGTTCAGGGAAGGCAGGGAAAATACAGTCCAGGCAGTACAGTACCAGGCAGTCCGAAGACTGTCTCCCAATCCACTCTGTAAACGCTGGGAGGAGTGAGGAAGCAGACAGGCACCCTTTTCACTGGCCAACAGTTAACTGAAAGTTCAAATTTTGCACTTTCCCTGCCTCCCACGTGGTTTTTTCAGGTTTTTTTCAGTTCGTAACTCAAATCTAAGTACGTAAGTCAAGTCAATATTTTCCTATGAGAGCGGTTCGTAAGTCAAAATGTTCTTAACTCAAGCCGTTCTTAAGTCAAGACCCCACTGTACCTAAAACAATGAACTGTCCAGCCATCTTGTGTATACTGGAGAGGAACAACTGCATGCCTCCTCCTTACAGAGTCAGGAAAGGAAGTGAGACTAATATGTGGACCTGAATCTATCAATAGATCCAGGAGAAAACAGAGGACAGAGAGTCAAAAGTCAGTGTTGATAGTTTTTATTGAAACGGATAATCCTGGCTTGTTAACCTGATTAGCACAAACTATAATCCTTGTCTAAAATGGAAACAAACCATTTCCTCTTCACACACCCCCAATAAACAGTATCTTATGTTAAAAACTATCCAGTAATGATCTTATATGAAGGGAAGGCACAACCTGTGGCACCCAGTAGATGTTTTGGACTGGACCTATACACAGGTCCACTTAGTGCAACTAGTGAATGAGGCTTATTGGCATTATCCAAAACAACAGGTAAGTTACAGGTTGTTATGTCCCTGTTCCAGTGAATAGTAAAACAGTGTACTGTCCACATATTTTGTTTTAATCTACTACCATTTTACTATTAAGTAGAACAGAGATCTGCAAACAGGTGCCTGCTGCATGTTTTGAGCAAATCCAAGAATGGTTAGACATTTGCTTCCATTTCTCTAGGGCAGTAATGGCGCCTTTATAACCTCTTGTCATGTGCTGGGGCAGCGGAAATGCAGTCTACAGAGACCTTGCACGCATCCTAAAGTGTGTGAGCAAATCATCACTGTGATCAAATCCTTACTGTCTGTACAAAGCACAGTTGTTGTTGTTGGGGAAGAAGGTACATATCCCAGTCCTACTGCCAGTATAGGCTCATTTGATGGGAAGACGAGAGAGGGCCTTCTGTGTGTGGCTGCTCGCAGGTTATGCAATGCTTTCCCTCAGGAGACTAGGTTGGCCTCCTTCCTCTTATCCCTCCACTGACAATTGAAGATCCACCTCTTCAGGCAGGCTATTAACAAGCATAACTGAGACCCTGGACACTGTTTTTAAAGTTAAATTTGTTTTTAAAGTTTTAAATGTTTTTAATCATCCAATGTGTTTGAATTGCTATTATAATTTAATTGTTTTTAATGTATAATTTATTGTGTTTTTAATTTTTTTACACTGTGGGCCACCTTGAATCCCTTATTGCAAGAAAGGTGGCCTATAAATGAGATAAATAAATAAATAAAATGCATGGGCATGATATTCTTGTACACCTCAGTCTCCATTAGAATCTTGCTTCACCCACTCTGCCAGATACCTGTTTGGTAGGTTCTGTTGAACATAGTGTAACGGGGTGATCCATAGATACAGTAGTCTCTCTCCATTGTCTTTCCAGTTTACATCTCCTAATGTACTCTTCCATTCAGCTGATTTCCAGCACCAGAAGGAACATGGTATGAGATCTTAACAACATGTAAGAGCTGAGGTGGTTGGAAGTGTTGGACATCCATATAGCTTCTGACTCATTGCCTCATGTAGCCCTCAGGGCAAAAATGTTGTTAAGTCACCACTTCTGTAAGGTCATTTGTGCAACATCATAAAACCCTGCTATAACAATAGACAACCAGAGAATTATAGGACAGTAGGTCAGAGACAAAGCACATGCTTGCATACACAAGGTTCCAGTTTCAATCACTGGCATCTCTTATAAGATTCTTATATAATAAGGCTAGGGTAGATCTCTACTTGAGATCTTGGATAGCTTCTGCCCATCACAATCATGGTACCACACTGCTAGACCAACACTACTTCATTGTAGGGCAGCATGATATGATCATGATGGAGCAAAGAATATCTGTCCTCTGTTGTGTTTCTTGATCTCTGGGTTTGCTTCTGAAAAACGTTTTGGCCCAAATGAAAGACATTTGTGGGAGAAAAGGTCTTTACTACTTACAAATAAGTGCAAGTTTGTCACTCGTCCATCATACTATTCTTTCTGCCTCTGCCTGAACCCAACCCTCTCACAGCCTGGCTGAAGCATTCGCTAATGCAGCTAGCCCTGATACAGTTTATGCCACATCCTCAACCAGTGTTCGGCAGCGACATCAGAAGTCGATGTCCATGTCGGTCTCTATGCATGCGAAGATGATGTTACCACCAGTAAACTATGGCACAGATAACCTCAGGTCTATGTAAGAAACGCTGGCATTGTTGTGAAACTAACTGGTACTCACTGCTGCTAAACTCTGTGCTCTGGAATTTTAGTCATAGAGAATGCTAGAAGACTGTATTACGTATGAGACGTGCATTCCCCAGTTCTTGTTCACATGTGGGTTGCAGCCGAAACTGTCTGTGATTGGATCCCACCTGACTGTTCCTTATTCCTTTAGTACTGTCAGAAATCCTTTTTCTCCCCTGCCAAATATACTATGATCTATGTTGCAATATTGTACTGCTTCATAAAATACTTGAATTGATATTTCAAATTCAAGTGCCTTTATGGAAGCTTTTTCTTCTGTAAAGATGCTTGTGTTATCAGTATGGGTAGAAGGGAAAAGAAGATGCTTATGTGCACAAGAACGATGTAAGAAGCTGTCTTTGATCTTGCTTTCCCCTTCTTGTATTGGTATTTTCATTTTAAAAAAAATCCATATACAGTCTGCTTAGGCTGAGCTTTTTGCCTCCATACACAGATTTTTGAATTATCTTTTCGCTTTTAGTGCAATTGTGTTGTAAAAATGTTGAATAATTTATGTGCTGAAATGTTCCCTCTAAAATTATAATCTATAAAAGCTTTTTAGTACAGTACTCTGTTGTAGAGATATTCCATGCTCTCTGTTAATGTGTATTGTGTCCGTCCTGAAGAGAGTTGTGTTTCTGCAGAGAATTTTAACTCACCTCTAACTTTATTCTAGTGCTATTCCTGATCAAAGGACGCCAGTTGCTTCAACTCACAGCATCAGCAGTGCAACAACACCTGACCGCATCCGCTTCCCCAGAGGAACTGCCAGTCGTAGCACTTTCCATGGCCAGCTCAGAGAACGGCGCACTGCCACATACAACGGACCTCCTGCATCACCCAGTTTGTCTCATGAAGCAACGCCACTTTCACAGACACGTAGAGGCTCCACTAACTTGTTCAGTAAATTGACGTCTAAGCTAACAAGAAGGTATGTATTTTTTTTTAAAAAAAACACACAATACTTTGTTTAGTGCAGTCATTCTCAGTATCAAAGAACATAACCATGTTGCAGATCAGTATCCATGTCTTTTTTCAGTAGGTTGAAATAATACATGACAACATAACACACACTTGTAATGTGTATCTGCTACGTCCCGTATGTGTGAAATTTTCCTTTCAGTGGGTAATAAGACAATGTTAGAATAGTTCATTACAAGACTGTTCCAATAGCTGTAAAAGCGAGTTAAAACTAATTTTTAAAGGCCCCAAAATGAGGTGAAATGAGTAGCTCAGTCAGCCAGAAATTTAATATAACAACTAATAATTTGACGAATGTCATCAACAGAAGCTTTTTTCAGTGTCAGGTGAGAAGCAAACCTTTTTTCTCCCCATCTCTCTCTCTCACATACCTGTTGGCAGTATAAGGCCAACTGAACATATCAGGTGTCTTCGCAATTTGAAGACTAATCTAGATAGAAGCTTCTCATACTTCTGGCTCTGCAGTGTTGAAGAATAAGGTGTCAGTTCATTCTATTTTATGAAGGACAGGCTGCTATTTAAAGAATCATAATCCAAGCCGTGTTCAAAGATAAATGTTAGAATCCAGTTGGTGACTGATACTTGTGTAAGAGAAATGGCATAACTCATAATAAATTGCCACTAATTAATGAAGTGCTAGTTATTTCATTACAAGGAATTGTCTACTCCAAAGACCCATATTACCAAAATTCATTATCTGAAGCTAATGAACAGAAGGAGCTATAGGACTGAAAGCTGAAAGACACTTGCCCAGAAACACAACTAGCAATTCATTAAGTAGTGGAAATTGCTGCTGCAACGTGTGCCATTTCAGGTGTGTAGGCATACATCACTGGTTGGATTCTGGCCTTGAATCCTAAAATGGAGTGTGATGGGGCAGAGAAGCCTTAAAGTTGTTCATCTGCTGTTAGTTACTCCTAGACAAACAGACTGAGCAGCGGCCATGCACCTCAACAGTTTTGTACATTTTGGTCAGACATATTGAAGTTCTATTTAAATTACAATATTTTCTTCTAAACTCCAGTCTGTACATGTAATCTAACACATGCAAATCTGCCCTCTTACATCCCCTTTTCTGATAGTGTACTTCCTCTTCTTTGGGGCTCAGAGTCCACCCTGCTCAAGAATCACCCTGGCTAGGAGAATAGAAACTCCATAGAAAACTAGTTAATCCTTTTTTTTTGGGGGGGGGGACACCTTCTGTGATGAGCAGGTCTATATTTACACACACCTTGCTAGTGTAAAGTTAAAGTTGCACTTTTTCCACAATACATCCCAAACCAGGAATCATCTCATAAGCATTCTTCTCTGCTTAGAACAGTGTTCATGACAAGGAACTGTCCACTCCAAAGGACCATATTATAGAAATTCATATATGCAGCTAGAGAAGTGAATGAGCCCTCTAGGACTGAACTTGGCATGCAGAAAGTCCCACTTTCATTCCTAGGCATTTCTAATTAAAAGGAATCTCAAGGAGCAGGACTTGAAAACATCTCAGACTAAGTGTTTGAGTGATTACTGCATATCAACAGTGACAGAACTGGCTGTGTGAAATTCTTGAAAGTTTCCTGTTACATAGTTTTGACATGGGAGTGGAACGAGCAGGCTGCCTCTGAAACACTGAGCTCTATTTCTGTAAGCCATTTTTGGTGGACCGTTGAGATGTATTTTGCTCAGTTTGTTTCACTTCTGTCATCTTAATGTTAATATAGACATTATCTACAGTCCAAAGACTTTTTAGCTCATGCAGATCTACTGTCTGTGTTTGTGTCTGGTGAAGGAGAGTTGGAGCCTGTTTGGCACATGCCTTGCATCTGGATGGCTGAAAAGGAATTTGAGCACAGCACACATTCATGAAATTAGGGACCTGTGATTAATTTCACAGGCTTCCCTAACTATCTGGCTTCTTTAGAGGAATCTTTAGAAGGATCACCTCATTCCAAGAAATGTTATATATTTATAATGTAAGTTTCCATAATACTTTACTTACATTTGTAGTTCCCATACCGTACATTTGCTTTTGCATTTTGGCGAAAATTCTAATTGATATTCCAGCTGCTGTAATTTATTGGTATTCTCTTCACAAGCTGTCCCTTTCCTTTTGAGCAGGTGGCCATATTTATAGACATTTGTTTATTATGCAATTAAAGACTGTTCCAAGTTTGAGTCATTAAATAGATGTGTAATCCAGTAGTTCTTGTGTAGGGCTTAAGAAGTAGCAAATAGCGGCTTTCCTCTTTTCTCACCAGAAGCCTTACAGTCTTGATTTGCCTGTGCATATTATTATAGTGACCGATTAATAATATCAGCAGCCATCCAAAATTCCAACTTTTTGATGGCAGAATGCTGGAATTTTGTGTATTGAATAAGCTGCACTTGTTTTAAATTATGTATTTACACTGTTTGTGTACCACCCATTAACAATGTTTTCTGAATTATTAACAGTACATATTTTAAAACATAATAATAAGATTAATGTTTGGCATGAAAGAGTGATATTTTTATCTCAGGGAGATAGAAAGTGAGAGAAGCAGTTTTAGGGTATAGACTGAATATAGATGGTCAGCATAAAGCTGTACTGTTTCTGGAAGATATGTATGTTTGACTTCGATTTCTAGCCTTCAGACATCGGATCAGGTCCCAAAACCTACCCACAGAGGGAGGTGGATAGAACATGATCCCCCCGCCACCCCTCGTTTCCCCATCAGCCTCCAGAATTGACTGTCATGGAAAGAAGGATTTTCAGAGGACTTTGTGTGATGGGGGCTGAGAGGAGTGGGATAGTTTGCACAGAAAATCAGGCAGAAACATCATCTGTCCCACTCACAAAAGGGTTGGTTTTTGTAAGATTCCCCTTCCCTTTTCACTCCTCTTTCAACATCACCCAGCTCAAAGGATGCTTGGACACTTGGAGAACCTCAAAGAGAGGTTGATGGCAAGGCAAAAATCATCTTGTGCTCACTTTCCTTTGTAGCTAGAAATGGGGTAATCGCTGTTTGTATGCACAATCTTAATAAGTTTTAATTACCAGTGTTTGAAAAGCAGAGTGATTGGAGGGGGTCCCTGTGAAGCTGGGAAGGATCAGGGTCTACTTTGAAGAGTACAGTACTAGGAATACTCTGGTGAGGAAGACATGCTGATTTTCTTTTCACATTGAAGACGTATTGAACACAGTCATTCATATAATCATTCCTTATTTCCTCTATGAACTCAAAGCTGTTGTTCTCTCATTTCACTGAGCTAGTGTTTTCATTTCTCTGTCTTGTGTTGAATGGATTTTCAATTTATTTCATACAAACACATTTTGTTAATTATTATTTTGGCTTAATTTCTTTTAGAAATATGTCATTCAGATTTATCAAAAGGTAGGATTTTACTTATATTATCAGAACCAGCTCTTGCAATTAACATTGAATTTGGCTTCATGGCCTTGGTTTTTCTTTTAAAATAAAAATTGAAACAGGACTAAACTTTCTGCTGAGAACTAAATACTTATCATGTACCAAAGATAAGGAAAAACAAATCATTCACTAATGATAATCCCTCTGGATCTCTGGCACCTGAATAATGAGATGCAAAGCATGCCTGTTCGCTCTATTTATTTTCGTAGTGCCAAAAATAATTTTGTTCTTCATACTAATACATTTAGCATGCTTATGGAGAAGAATGATATGTTTAGATATACTGATTAAAAGTGTAATATTGCTTGCTTTATTGGCCGTAATTTTAGCTTAAGAGCTTTGTCACTTTATTTACCATTGGTAATAATATATTCGAAACATAGCTCTTGGTTTTTTTATTTTCAAAATGTACAAATAATTATACATGAAATGTTGATACTAAAAAGCTTCTTAAATTGTGCTTGAACGCATGTGGAGGCCACACATGTTGGGGGAACATGCAAGCTCATGTGGAGAGGCTACATGGATATATCAGGCTTCCCCTTTTTAGACAGTCATATTTCCACAAATGGCTGGGCTAGCATGCTCCCCAAAAAGCATGTGCATTCCATATGTTTCAAAATATGACTCAGTAACACTATAATCCATCATGGAATCTTTCTTGATACCAGCCTGTTTGACTAGGCTTTATCTAGCTCTGAAATCAAAATAAAGTGTTTCTGAGCTGTTTGAAAAGGGACAGAGTGTTTTAAAAGACAGCATTGTTCGCTGTTTATTTAATGTGTGTGCATTTATATGTGCCCGTGCACACACACACACACAGAGTTTGTTGAGAACTAGTTACAGTACTGAATTTCAGACTGGGTCAGATGTTTCTATGTCAGGATAATAGTAAACAATCAATTGATAGGAAATAATTGCAAGCTGTCCTTGAAGGTATATAAAGTTCTAGGTGTTAACAACATATGAAAAATGAGATTTTCCCAGTTTCTACATAATCTTCAAGTTCTAAAATATGAATGCATACCTCAATGTGTGTATAATTTCAGTTAGTGTTGGTATGTTTGGAGTCTCTTTTGTCATTCATACAATTACTCACATTAGGGTTAAGGTGTGAGTTTTTTTTAAAAAAAATCTGTTTATTAAGTGGCTGTGCTCAGTTTCCTCCAGCCAATTATGTCTGCTGTGGTTTAGGGGTTCTGGTTTCCTGAATGGGTACTAAGACATTCTTCAATCATTTTCATAAAGGCTTAGCTCTGCGTGATTTTTCCTTGTAATGTATATGGAGATGCCTCAACTGGATTGTGCTTTGTAACCATTTGGAGCTCTGAGCCAGAGTAATTGAGTTTAGTAGTGGTGCCTTTGCCCTAAAACCACATTGTCTTGTTACTGATCTGATATAAAAATATGATTTTCGAGAACATGGCTCAGAATGACTGCAGAATGATGAAATCTGTTGCCTTTGTTGCAAATTCCAAGTCACAATAGTTTAAAAAACTTCACTATAAGACTAACAAGCACATAGCAAGTCGGAGTCCGAAACATATCTCCTAGTAAAACTGTTATTTATATCAACTGGTGTTATATTTTGTACTATAGCAGCCAGAATCCCTGGCCATTTGCCATGCTAGCTAGGATTTCTGGGAGTTATAACCCAACAATATCAGTTACACACAAAAACAAAGTATACAAAAATATATTCAAAGATTAATTCAACCATTCTATGTTAATTAATTAAAGGAACCACTGATACAGAAGCAGTTGACTGCAACAGTTTCTAAAATGTGAGAGTTGTCATTCACAGGTATAAAAAATGTAATGAAGTAATACTGAACAAATGACATCTTCACACTATCAGTTCAACTGTGATTGCTTATAGAACTTGCATTGGGTTGGATTGTCTCATTTCCAATGCAGTTTCCCCTTCTAATGCTTTTTTGTAATGGGTATATACCGTTCACAAAAGTCTTGTGTTATGGTTTAGTGAACATTTTATCCAAACATCTTAAAAATATTAATATACATTTGACTTGTGCTATTTGACACTTTGCATTTGAAAAGTGTAACTTTAGCTGGCCAAAGCATATCACTCTTTTACAAAATATTTCTGACAGTAGTATGCTTGTCATGAACTTAAACTAATGTGTGCTTCTTTTACATGGCTAACAGATTTTGAAAACAGATAACTTGTTTCTGTCTGTTTATAATGTTTATATCCCACCTCTGTAAGCAACAGAGGAAAACTATGAACAGCAAAAAACAGCATAAAACCTCCAATAGGAATAATGAAAGACAATCGAGATTTGGCTAAAACGTCTCACAGCCAAAAACACACATTAAAAAGAGCTCTCCCCTCCACAGAATTCCAAAACAATTAAATGGAATGCCTAAATTAAATATATAGGGCAAAATCCAAAGAAACAAAACAAACAAAACCCAAAAAAGACAAAAGCATGTAGCCCGTTAAAGACACTATTATAAATTTTGATGGATGCATCCACTTCATTATATGGAAACAAAATGAAATGTTGGATGAAATATCAACATTTTGTTCTGTTTCCATATGTCTGATGAGGTGGACATGTCCACAAAAGCTTACTTTTAAATATAATAGTCTTTAAGGTGCCACATATTTTTGTCTTTTTTTGTTTTCGGTTCTTTGAATTTTGCCTGATATGCTTGCACAGACAAACATGGCTTCTGAAACTGAATTAAATATACAGTATTACTATAGTAGATTCCTGCATTGATGAGGATTGGGTTTGTTGATTCTTGGAGTCCCTTCCAACTCTTGTCATTCCGTGGTACTCTTCTGGAGCCATAGTTTTTTTACTCCAAAACTGCATTATATATTGCCAGCTTCAGCCAGCTTCTCATACCCCCCACACACACACACACTCTGCTGAATTTATTGTATCTCGTTAAGCTCAAATAAAATTCAAATATATGCTTTAGACCTCATGTGTTAAGTCCATGCTATCTATAGAACTGAATACCATCTGCTCTTCTGGAGCGTCTGTGTCGATTTTTTCATTCTAACATCTAGATAGACCTTGTTGAACTACTCAGCTGATTGATCTCCTATCTTGCTGTTACTGTTCTTACTCTTTCTGAAAGGTCTAGAGCTGTCAGTTATAGATTCTCTTACAATATTCAGAAGACAGCAGTGGGCTATAGGGTAAAGGAGTTTAGTCATCTTTTCTTACTTTACTCTTGATTGTTTTACCACTATGTTTTCAGTTTCTAGAAGACAGTGCAAACACATGTAGGAAGGTCAGCCTGTACCATTGTGCTCCACTAGAGTGCAGTAGTTATAGCAGTTGTCAGTATTCTGCAGAGCTTCTACTCATTGAGAAATCCTATTAGCATAGTAACATGGGTTACTTGCACAAGTGGAGGGCAGATTCTTTTCATGGATCTGACAGGTTGCATAGGAACAACACTTACATAAACATGTTACTGCACTAACAGGTCATCCCAGTCAATACAGTTTCAGTATGATATTGGTCAGTGTTAAATGCCCATTGAATTGGCCTGTAATGTGCTATTGACATATTTCTTCTTCAGCAACATTGGACTTTAAATTCCCTTGAAGATCTGCATCACATACAAGCAGTGTTCCTGTGCAGGTTTGATACATGTGGCTGCGTAGGCAGTTTGCAAAGAAGTGCAGTACTTTCAAGTTTACTTTCTCTGTAATAGCTGAAACACATTATTCTGTGTCGTTTCTCTTTATTTTAAAAGGCATATTCTTGACAGGTAAGACACAGGGATGCTAAGTGGCTGGAATGATATAGTAATAAATTGTGTAAATATGTGGGAGACTGGGTAACATTATTACTTGATCATGGGATTAGGCCATTTATGTGTCAAAGGAAAGCCTTAAAAATTCTGAAAATAATAATGAAACTACTTATGAAAGCTAGTGTAAATTGAGTTAAACTGAATTTTGAGCACTCTGATTTATTTTTCCATCCTGCCTGACAGCTTCATCATATGAACAGCCAAATCTCTTAGTGAGCACTATTGTTGCAAAATCCTTCCTAGATTTGTGAGAATCCTCTTGAGAACCATACTTTGCTCTCTTCTTCTTAGGTATCAGTACATTCTCTTATCATGAATTAACATTTGAGGTTTCCAAATATACTTTATTTCAGAGTAGATTTGATTTAAATCAGGTTGATTTAAATCACAATTTGAATTTTTGAAAATCAATTTTTATTTAAATTGTGATTTGAATAAATTTAATTTTTTAAAAATCATTGGTTTTTATCCACCCTGCTTTATTTGGACAAAGGCATATTTGGTATCTTGCACTAATTAATCATTTCATGTTTGAAGCCCAGCACTTACTTGCAATTCAGATTGAATGCGATGTCACTGTGCTGTGTTCTGCCAACCTTATTCATACTAGTGTAAGATTTGTCTTCTCTTTCCTGCTTTCTTTGTGCTTCGGCATTGTTTTCATTGAGGCTTCCAACTGAATATGAGAGGAACGGGAGATATGAGGGCTCAAGGTGAGGGTAACTGTTTTTTGTTTCAAATGTTAACTTTAGATTGAGTTTAATTCCTTTTCTTCCTCTTCAAATAGTATAGGCAGTAGAATGTTGCTGGTGGTGGTGGTGATATCCTTAGCTTAACCGTTACTTAAAACCAAGAATGCCTCCTATCTGCAAAGCTGTGATTAAATCATTTAGATGATTCTGACTTCTCATGCACATTCAAAGATTCTCTTACATGCCTCGTAAAAGCCTAATAAAGTTTCAGTGGTTGTTCCATTGCAGACCAGGGAACCAGCAAATTTCTTGACTGCCAGAAAATGAGGCTTCCATTTAGTCCAAAACAGTTATTGAAAGAAACTTCCTTTTCTTTCAAATAGTGGAAGACATATGTATTAAATCTCAAAACTTTGGGATTTGTGGAGATAACATCTTTACTTGTGGTTAAGTACCATGCTGCAGCACAGAAGCCAGTTTCATATGACCAAGAATTAATCACAGAAATGTCTATAAGATGGCTTTGGTTTTTGATGGTAAGCTCATCTACCTACAGAGGTTCTAGGATTTCATTGACATAGATATTCAACTGGGATTATTTAGTCTGTGACCTCTTAAAAGATATCAAATTTTGAGTTACTGAATTCAGTATAGCTTCTCTCTCAGATATCACTTGGAAAATATTATCTCTGAAAAAGTTCTTAAGTAGTGCAATTTGGATTTCATAGAGAAAATTTATTTATTTGTTTGTTTGTTTGTTTATTTATTTATTTATTTAACTTATATGCCGCCCACTCTACCCAAAGGTTTCTGGGCGGCTTACAACAATTTAAATTCAATTAAAATACAGTGGTGCCTCGCTTAGCAATGTCAATCCGTGCAGCAAAAATCACTGTTAAGCGATAATATCGCTAAGCGATTTTTAAAAGCCCATAGAAACGCATTAAAACTTGTTTAATGCGTTCCTATGGGCTAAAAACTAACCTTAAAGTGAAGATCCTCTGTTGTGGCGGCCATTTTCGGTGCCTCTAAAGCGAGGCAACAGTGGGTGGCCATTTTGTTTTCCGGTGGCCATTTTGGAACCACCGATCAGCTGGCCGAAAATGGGGGCTTTGTGACGATCGCTTCCCCGCGATCATCGCAAAGCGAATTTTCCCCATAGGAAACATCGCAAAGCGATCGCTTTTGCGATCGCAAAAGCATCATCGCTAAGCGATTTCTTCGTTAAACGGAGCAATCGCTAAGTGAGGCACCACTGTACAATAAAAGATAAAATAATTAAAATCCAATTAAAATTGCCATCAGGACCCACAGTTGATGTTATTTCAATTAAAAGCCTTCTGGAACAGGAAGGTTTTGACCTGGTGCCAAAATGTTATCAACGTCGGCACCAGACGAATTTCATTTGGGAGGGCATTCCATAGTCTGAGGGCAGCTGCCGAAAAGGCCCTTTGTCTACAAAGCCATCCCTCTTACCTCCTTGAGGGACAGCTCTTTCAAAAGGGCCCCCTGGCTAGATCTTAACTGCCAGGCAGGCTCATATGGAATTTAATGCTTCCAGGTAATTTTTGTCCTACAGAGAGAGTACTTGGGAACTATCTATATTCAGTGAACCAACACCACTAATTCCTAGCTTGAAGTAGAAGACCAGTATGAAATTCTAGAAGTTTCTGTGCCTTCTCATTTTCTCTTGGCCCTTCCAAAAAGTGAAGGAAAAATTGGAATGAGGATCTGTCTCTTTGGTGTCCTGTATTTAATATAATGTGTTTTCACCCGAGAAGGTTGAGTTCCAGAGAACTGCAAGCAGAATCCATGTGATTGTGTTTGCCCTACTCACTGGAATGCAGCCATAATGTTCAGTTGTATGTCTGTTCCAATAACTGTAGTTGAAAGTAATAGATCTTTTTGCCACTAACATCATTGAATTTTGCCATTACACATAACTCATCAGTTTTTTAATAAATGCAGTTGTTAACAAACAGTTCTCCTGAAATTAAACGTAATTGCCAGATTTTAGCATGCACATTTGATACTTTTTTGTGTTGGACTGTTTTTAAAATCTTTCAGTTTCTGCGGAATTGAGAATCCATTCTATAGCTATGAGCAATCTTCAACAATCTCTTAACAATGGAAAAGGGGGTCCAAAGCACCCTTTCTGAAAGTGTGTTGTAGGTAGCAAGTTAGTGATGAAGTTAGTGCACTTGATGTTGGGAAGACTGAATATATGGTGGAGACATGCAGAATTCTACATTAAGAATCCCTACTAAGATAAGCCTTGTTGGGCCATTGTATATTCAGATACACTGACCGTGCATCATCATTTCCAGCATCCTTTTATGCATGGAGGACAGCTCTGAAGAGGTCTTTCTCTTTAGACCATGCTTTCCATGTGTTGGGGGGCAGAACAAGAATGCTCCTATCTTCTTACCATGAATATACCTAAATGTTTGAATAGAGCAGAGTTAGGGGGACACTGCATTAGGAATTCAATGAGGGCTTGATATACTTGATTGCATTCATTTGCAATGTTTGGATAGTCAAGCATATATATTTGACACCCTGTGAGCAATAATGCACGTAGCTAATTTCAGACCTGGTTGGGCACAGTGGAGCCCTTGATGTCAAACTCAACTCCCTTCTGCACTAACCAGCATAGGCAATGGGTAGGAATGGTACAAAGTGAAGTCCAACCTTTTGGGGTACATACCCTCCCCTCTCCAGTTTAGACCTGGGCTTGATGGAATTGTGATGGGAGGAGTGCTTTAGACAGCCATAAGATCATTCCTGTTAAATATTGCTTCTGAATGTGTGCAATTTTGCATTTTAAGTTCCCTTAAGTCATAGCACCATAATGTCTGCCCTCTAAACACATTTGCTTGGAAATAAGCACCATTTGTAAATAAGCATCTGCATCTAAACACATCTGCAGTGGCAAATAGAGTCACCACTGTGGGCCCAACCATACATGTGCCAGTCCATGTTTGTTGTGTGTTCCCAAGAATTCTGCTAGGGGAACCTCTGTGCTATCGAGTCTTTGGCAACCAGCCTCCGGTGCACCACTGCCTATGAGGGTCAGAAGGGACTTGCACGGGAAGATGGCAGAGAAGCATTGGTGGACTGGGGAAAAGATAGGCTCTTCTTTGCCCCCTCTTCACATTGTATCTTCTTCCAAAGCTGCTTGGGGGAGCACGAACCTTGGAAGTGAGTGATATGTATGTACTTATAACTATTAGGTTTAGTAAGACTTTCTGTAATTCAGGTGTTAGGCACTGACAGGAGCTTTTAATGACCCTGAGGATCAGTAGCAGTCCTTGAGGGGACATGCTTAACAATGCATGGTGCAAAGGACTCTGGCTTTTACTAACAGTAGCTCCCAAGGACATTGTTTCACCTGATGAATACTAAAGCTTGGTTTCCTTTCAGTCGCAACGTGTCAGTTGATCAGAAGGATGACAACAAGGAAGCTAAGCCCCGTTCACTGCGATTTACTTGGAGTATGAAAACCACCAGCTCTATGGATCCTAATGATATGATGAGGGAAATTCGCAAAGTCCTGGATGCCAATAACTGTGACTATGAGCAGAGAGAGCGGTTCTTGCTGTTCTGCGTCCACGGGGATGGCCACGCAGAAAACCTCGTGCAGTGGGAGATGGAGGTGTGTAAGCTGCCAAGACTGTCACTGAACGGAGTCCGCTTTAAACGGATATCGGGAACATCCATAGCTTTCAAAAACATTGCTTCCAAAATTGCCAATGAATTAAAGCTGTAATGAGAAGAGCAATCAAGTTTGTACATTTAAAGTAGCAATTTCAAGTGTTGTTGTTTTTTTGTTTTGTTTTGTTTTTCTTCTCCTTTTTTGAGAACACCAATGGAAATGTATAGAATAATATTTAGGGCAATAACTTCTGCATCTTCTGAATCATGATATTAAAGAAACAGTTGAGAGAAGCTGCTGAGTTGGGAGGGAGAGTTGGACTTTTTTTTATAAGTGCACTACAGCATTAAAGTTGCCTACTATGTAAAATATTACTCCCTTCTGCTTTATTTCCATTGCTCTGGGTCTTGGCGAACAATCTGAAACACACAATATATACATTTGAATATTCCTCCTGTTTGTGTGGATGTGTGAATGTACAGTATGTGTGTATAATTATAATATAAAAGTATTAAATGTAAGCACTTCACTTATTGCATCAGAGCTGTACCAGTACCTCTTTGGAGGATAATTTTGGTGCTAAAACTGAAATGGCCAAGGTGGAAACACTTGAAAACAATTGACTATTTAACCAGTAAATGTAGGTTTTACAATTCATTGCTGTGTTTAAGATTTAGTAGAAGGGATTTGAGGTTATGGTTGTGAACCTTTTTCCTGTGGCTTTTTATTTGATTTCATGAGATAATTTAAAACTCATGTTTTTTTCCAGGTCTTGCATTATTTCTCCCACTTATTTATTATTATTTAAGTCTGAAATCAAATTAAAACTACACTTTTGTGATAATTAAAATGATGGGGAAAATGCTTCAAGTTTTTCTTTTTCCTTATAATCAGAGACTGAGCATTTTGTCTTCCTGAGTTTTCACTTTAGGGTTTTTCCTAGTACAAATTTCTTTTCTTTTTTAACAGCCTTGTCCTAGCCTCATCTGCTGTGCATTTCAGTGGGGCTGGGAAACTGTCTGATGGTTTTCAGCTTTTGCCGATAGCCTACAGAACTAAAGTGATTCACAGAGTTTACCGTTACCCTTTTAATACTTCATGTGAAGCCATAAATATATATTTAACATCAGATTTGCTGGGACTTGCCTCTTGTTAATAACATTGTGTGGTAGAAGCTCCTGTGCTAGAACAGCTGGCCTATATTAGCCAAGAAGGAACAAGTATGAAATAACTCTTGAATTCCATTTAATTATAACTTTTGTGAAGAATTGTCCCAAGACTAAAAAGAGTGACTACCTTGACCATGAAATATTGTCTGACTATTAAATAACAAGGAACAGAATCCACAGATACCCCATGGGTAAAGTTACTTTACAGTATCCCAGGCTTTGGCAGTGGTGATCAGTGGTCTCAACTTAAATTTTCCTCTGATGCAGTATTTGCCAGCTCTTAGCTAGTACAATCCATAAGTAGATTCTGTCCTTAAAGGCAAAATGTTATCTGGGATATTAGTCTATGCATATCTAAGCTGTAAAAGTTCTCCATCTCTTCACGTGGATGCACGTACACACATTTTTGTGCACATATTCAAAATATTCCTATACTAGGAAGCTCTTCACGTACAACAACAAGCAGTTCTGAAATTGTGTTTTGTTCTCTTATAGATACATGGATTTTGCAGGACTTTGCACTTAAATGTATTTTAGTCACATTGAATCAGGGTTGAGGATATGGATTGTAAGGATTTCAGTATTAGCGGTCATGCTAATTACCAAGTCCAATCTCTGGGCCTTTATTTAGACCTCTGTTGAGCAGGGAGAAAGAGAATGTGTAAATTAAGTGCATGTAAGCAAAGCAAAGACAACACTGTTTTCTGAGCCTGTTCTCTGACAATACTCAACCAAAGACTTCCAGATTTCTGTACAACCACAGTTGCTAGAAACCATCTCCTTTAATTTAAAAAAAAGTCTGCTGGAATCAACAGTGTGCTTTCTTCGCAGACCATAATTCAGTTATTTCCAATGTATTTGTAACTGTATGATGATACAGTTTCTCTATATCCACTTGCATTTTTAAGTACCTAGAAGTAATCCTAAAAACTGCCTAGTTATCCCTAGTAAACTCAGTGGTTTTTACTTGAATCAAGTGATAGGTCATATTTTTCTACCCCTGTTATTTGTTAATGTGATATGGGCTTTATTATTTTGCCTTATTTTTTGCAATATTTCATTTGATTTAACAATTATAAATCAAAAGCCATCAAAGAACAGTTTCATATTAAAAATTGTTTAAAATAAAATGCGGTGAAATACATCACAATACATACTTTTTCTTAATGCTTCCAGCATGTATTTGGCCTATGATGCTAAAATAGAATACTTCAGACCAGCTTTCACTTACAAGTATTGCTTTGTCAGTCTGTTATGTTAGTTAAAGGATCATCTTAAATATAGGAGAGTATAAAATGTCTGATTTTTAATATGCACATTCTGTATGGAAATTTGATGGTGGGAGTTGTTTAACAATGGCTGTAATGAGTACTGGTTTTCTATTTTGTTAAAGCAATAAACAACATTTCAGGGTCATTATTTAAACTACCAGGTGAGTATCCAACTGTCCAATGTATTCGCGAAGGCTTTCACGGCCAGGATCTAATGGTTGTTGTGGGTTTTTCGGGCTCTTTGGCCGTGTTCTGAAGGTTGTTCTTCCTTAGCCCCAAAAACCCACAACAACCATTCAACTGCCCTTTATCTCTGTTTTAAACTATTTTAGAAGGCTTTTAACCTCTTATAGGCACATTGAAAGACTTACCAAATTCTTGTAGAGCAGGGTGTGGTAAATTTTATCGATCTGAGGCCAGTTTTCTGCCTCTGGGATCCTCCAAGGGAACGTGCCTGCCATTCCAAAATGTAGAGAAACAAACACAGAAGTAACTAGGAGACCAGTTCCAGTTGTGATAATGGCTATAATTTTGTGAGAGACCCTGCAGGGAGGTTGCTCTCTGTTTAAAGGAGAAATTATTGTTCTGGGCACCTTCCGGAAACAGTGATCAACATTTATTTGGTTGGGTTTTGTTTGTTTGTTCATGGAGAAAGCAACTTTTTGGTAGGGGCACCAAAATAACTTTGGGTACAAGGCCACAGTCTGCCCACTGCTGTTGTCGAGGGACATAAGATTGGCTCTTGCATTAAATGATGTCCTGAAGTGATGTAGACAAAAAAAAAAAGAATATGGAAAAGAACGTCTTTAGGATTTAAAAGAAATTTGGTCATATTCCTCATCATGGTGATATAGTTGTTCAGAAATAAGAAACTGACATGATACTATATTCTGAGTATGGTACAGTAGGTTTCCTAACTAAGATTTCAGCAGTTGCAGTTCACTTCTGTCTGCCAGTAATACTATGCTACTAGACTTGAGCTATTCATATTCACATCCCTGGGGATACAAATACAAATTAGCAGCACCACAGGTGCCATGGAGGCCCCTTCCCTCCTTCCAGAACCAGCTGGTCTACCCACTGTTCACAGTAGAACGCTCAACTCTGTCATCATTGTGCCAATTGCAGAAGGAGCCCTGTTGGCTCTTCCCCACCTTCCGCAGTGGAGAGGAGGCAGGATGGGGAGTCTCCCCTCTCAGCTGATGAATGGTCAGCTGCCTAGGGTGGCAGGGAAGCATCAGCTGGGCTCCTCCCATAATTGGCACAAGGACAACAATGGAACCGAGCAACACACTGAACGGTGAGTGGATCATCCAGTTCTTGGGCGGGGGGGAGGTATAGGCCTCTTGTGATTCTGCTATTTGTATTCATAGCTCCAGGGATTTGAATACAAAAATAGCTCATGTCCATGTGCTATTCTTTCTTCAATGTAAACTTTTTTATAATCTTAGTTTTATTTCATTACTAATTAATCTGTTAATATGCCAAACTAATTTTATAGATTTCCATCAGAGGGTTAATATTAACAAATTGATTTTAGCATAGCATTCACCAGAGGATCATCTGTAGTATCCAGGACCTAGACACTAGGTCAGTGGTCCCCAACCTTGGGCCTCCAGATGTTCTTGGACTTCAGCTTCCAGAAATCCTGGCCAGCAGAGGTGGTGGTGAAGGCTTCTGGGAGTCGTAGTCCAAGAACATCTGGTGGCCCAGGTTGGGGACCACTGCACTAGGTGATTACTTATCTGCATTGGGCATGATTTCTTGGCAGAAACTATATTCATATGCAATTGGTCAGTAACAGTGCAATTCTGTACATTATACAGTGGTGCCCCGCTTGTACCTCATATATAAGCCCCAGTTAGTTCAATGGAACTTGCTCCCAAGTTATATGCTTGCTCCTAAGCATATAAAAATGCAGCCTATTTTATCCACAACAGACGTTTACATGCTACATTGCTAATGCCAGGATTCTTTAAAGTTGTTAGTGAAAATAGCAGTCAGAAAATAATGAGAAAATACATTGCTCCCACCCACCCCCAATTAACGTATATTAATTCTAATAGCATTCTGCAACCTGCTGCCACTGGCTGTGCTGGGAAGGGATGATGGATGTTGCAGTCAGCACCACTGAAAGGCACTAGGGTTGGAAAAGCTACTGTACTTCATGACGCTGTAGTGTAGTAACTTTATGAAGGACAGGAAGGGAGTGAGGTTCAAGTGCTTACCATTGCACAGAGATGGCATCGTCCCCTTCCCCCCCCAAAAAAAACACACCATATATCCATTGCTAGAAAAATCAAGACAGATTGAGTTCCTTAATCTTGGGAGATTTTTTAAAAGCATTACATTTCTTTTAAAGTGAGATATATACAAAGTGTCCATGTTAACAGTTGCTATGGAAATGAAATTTTATCACCCACAGTTGAGCAGTTTAGTGTCACAACAGCATAGCAGTTTATCCACTCAATGCCACCACCAAAAAAGTGCACAGAAACAACTGTGCATTAGCATTTTGCTGGCTATGGCCACACACTTTTTTGAAGCCTTTGGGGTGATGTAGGGTTTCCCCACGTCAGATGAACCGCATTTTGTTCCTAGTGATTTCCCATGGTGTATATATATCTTTAAAAAGGAAGAATTCCCCCCAAAAAAAGCATTCAAAAAGTGTTGGGCATTGGCTATAATCCTAACACAGGTTCTGCATTCTTCAAAATGATGGATGGAAAAGAGGACAAAGAACTGGTATCTCGTAGTGATCCTTGCTCAGATCCCAGCTGCTGGAGCCCTCTCTAGAATACTCCCCACCAGCTTCCAGCCTACACATTCTGCTGCCACTGAGCCTATTCAATTCTTGTATATTTGATTTTTCTTATCCCAGCCTCCTTTTCAGCTGATAATATTTGTAGGCACTTCTGCAAAGTATGAGGCTTCCACAAGCATGTTGATAATTCCCATTCGTGTGGATTCCATTCCCTAAGATTTCTTGTTTCCTTCGTTTCCTCTCCCTAAGATCCGATCCTTGGCAATTTACTGTAATATAGAGTTTTTAATGTCGGGCTGTCTGACTATCAGAGAAAGATAGCAATTGAGTTTGCTTTGCAAGGATGTAACCCTGAAGAGGCCCTTGTTCATTCAGGGGTTGGGGGAGAAACACCCAGTAAGCTTCTTGCTCTCAGGATATGATGCTATTAGAAGGAGAAAACGGCAAAAGGCAGAATTGGTACAGAGCTGGAAAAACTGCTGGAAGGTCATAGGCCAAATAAGCAATGGGCAGCTGTAGCCCTCGGGCTCCCATCAGCTCTAAGCCAGCATGCCCAATGGTGAGTGATTATGAGAGCTGTCAAGGAAGAAAGTCAATCAAGGGACAGAGAAGACAATGCTAGTTAGGTTTGAGAGAGAACAGTCAGTTTTCCCTGGAACT